TTTTCCCAATAATTTTCAACCTGACTAAACTGAAACAAACACAAACCGTGCACAAAATCTACCAGAGTAAAACCTCATCCTCGACAACTTACAGACTATGCTGAAGCTTGGTCTACTCAATTTTAGTGGTAATGTGAAAGAGCACCAAGTTCAGACCAGCCAGGATTCATTCTGTGATTTCAATTTGCTTTCAAGTTGTAAAATCTGTATTAGAAAAAGCATTTGCTTTTTAAATATCTAGCAAATAAAACAGATCAGTCTACACTGCTCATTTGAACAAAAGGCAGCAAGTGAAAACCTTAAATAGCAGAACAAACTAATAGAGATAACTAAGCCAGATTACCTTTTTTTTCAACTGCACTCAGCTGTATATATATATATGAATACATGATGTACAGTCTTCCACTTGTATTGCAGTACGGTATCCTGCTGCTTCTATGTCCTAGTGGTTTCTCCAAGGGTTTGTATAGTAATCTTCTGCTTGTGTCCTGCTAGCAGTGCAAGTGGAACATCATTCAAATGAAAATACAGAAAGAACACTTGAAATTATGATTTTTTTTTTTCTGAGAGTCATGCTTTTCTTCTGATGAGTGCACTTGATAAAATACATTCCACCCACCCACAGCCCCCTGCCTTCTCTGTGTTCCACTGATAAACATGACCCACCACACTGAAAGTGTTTTTCCTGAAAGGCTGTAGGCAAGCATGGTGATGAAAAGAAAAAAGAGGAATGAATGTTAAACAGAATGGGAGAGAGAGGAATTGTGTATATGTATGAGTAAAAAAAACAACTAAAAGTGTGCTATGAGTTGGATTTAATAAGGGGGGCAAATAAATGCATTTTCTTTTTAAGATGTACATATCACAGAATACAAAGGAATGATTCTACCTACATCATCAGTCAGTTCCTACCAATTTGTGAGATATGAATGGGGGAAATGATGATAACAACATCAACGTGAATTTTATGTTAATGGAGTTCATATTTTGGAAAATGTTTCGAGAGCAGGCAAAACAATCCTTTTCAAAATAAGTGTCCTTGCTTCAAGAGAGGACAAAGGAAATACACAGAAATAAAAAGGAAGGATATTTCATTTAAATAGAACTTAACTAATTTTAAAAATAATTCCAGTAAATTTTTAAACATATTTCTATGTAAATACACACACATTCTTTTCATCCATTTGGCCTTTTCACAAGTATGTAAGGAAATGGTATTTAAGAACAAATCCTTGGTGATAGCATTTACAAGCAAAACTAGTTAGTTATAATCAAAGGTGGAGTGGAGACAGGAAAATTATCCTAGCAGTATTTGTCAAGCATATGACAGTGCCCTCTAATTGACTTCAACAGAGGCAGATTCCCTGCTATATGCTTTATTTAATGTAACGTTAAAGTGTGACTCATTGCTAGTCATAATATCACTTCTCTGAGCAAGCACTTACTCCAGTTTTAGCTGGAGCTCACCTTGAGAGAACCATCAAGAAGAAGCCTGTGCATCACTTAAGCTCTTGTGCACTGCTAAATCTCACTTTTTAACCTGCCCTAAAGTTTCCCCTTCAAAGTTATTAATGGAAGGAAATACAGCCTGTTTCATGAGGTCGTATTTTATACACTCATGTTTTTACATTTTAAGCTGTTTTTACATTTTAAGCCTGCTCAAAGTAGTCTGTCTGTGCAAAGTGTTATATTTTGCTCCTGACAAAGCATCAGCTCATAACCAACAGCTTTGGCCCTGAACATAAACCTCATTTTCTTTCTGTAATTTGTATTCTGTTCTCTCTTCTGTGAGCAATGTCCCACAAGTCATTGCCGAATTGAGCGAGCTATGGGCCTAGTAGTGACAAAAGAAAGAAGACTGCTTATTGTTACTGGATAGGATAGGTGAATAATAAATCAAAGCAAGAACTTGGGCATCAGCATTCGTGTATTTTAGCATGCTGGATAAATTTAGAGGTGCGAAAAATCAGAATGCTTTGGGGATATTCTGCTTTTGTTTACCTCCAATCGCTTCTGAGTCAGAAAGTTAAGTAATCTAGTGTTGACAAATGACAACTTAGTGCCCAGTTTTGTCTGTGAGGCTGTGTAGTAAACACCCATGCTAGACTTTTCAACCAGAAGATGAATTTATCATTCATATTGTAACACTCATCACTTTAAGAGTAATTAATTATCATCTAGAGTCTGACTTGTGCCCTGGGGAAATGTTTAGACCTGTACTTAACTCTTCTAGGTTGATTAATGTACCTAAAGCTTTTTGTGTTTCCTTCCAAGCAGTACAAATTTTTCATTTAATATAGTTTATTTCAGGACTATAGAAATGCAGGCTGTTTCCCAGAACTTTCAGGTGTGGTGATGACACTTCAAAACAAGTGCAAAATAGCAACCAATCTGCCATCTGTGGCATTATCTTTTACAGCTCTAACTGGTAAGAGGCAAAGACAGTTCAAAACTTACCTGAACTGGACTGGATAAGACCCCACTCTGATTTAGATTATGTCAATAGCTATTGTGTGTAATATGAATTACAGAGGCTTTATCTGATCTATTATTGGTAGGCTGTTGAAGCTTCTTCAGAATAAATTATACAATTGCTTTGTGCTGTCTGATATATCAGTTTGCACCAACTAGTAGTAATAACTGGGCAGTGTGGATTCAGTACTTAACTACCTACAAGTCTTGTGTGGCAGATAAAGAAAAATTCCAAGGCAAATAGTTCAATAGCTTTGTTGAAAAACTAATTGTAACATTGTTATTACTGAGAACATCAAAAATTGTGTTAGGTTTTCATATTAGGTTTCCAACTTTAATGACTCTGTGATTCCATGATACTAAATGTTTTGTCATTCTTTTGCACTCTATTGAAATCGTTCTTGCTAAAAGTGTATTTACTGCTACTTAAATCTTAAAACCATTTTCTTTGATTTATTAGCTCTTATCAGTCATATTCTTCTCTCTAGAATCTAATTTTTTCTTGATTTCCACGGCTTTATTATCCCTGGTCTCCTTTTAGCTTTCTGATCATCACTTCAGTAAGTGTTTTAGAGGGATTTTGCTTGATATAGCTGTGATCTGGTAACATGGACTGGGCGCCCAGTAGCAGCTAAAGCACTGCTTGGGGCAAAAGCCCAGGTGCAGTTGTTGAATGCAGGGTCAGGTTAGTTTCATCTGAAAATTTATGAGCTCCAAGACTGCTCTGCCATGCAAGCTACAGCCCACTAAGTGGAACTATCCTGAAAGAAACACTGTGCTTTCTGCCATGCTTCCTCTCATGATTTGAACTATCTTTTGGCAGATGCCTCTAAAAAAGCTTAATTGTTTAGGTGTTTGTTAATCTACTAAGGCAGAAACTACCATGCAGACTAGCTGCCTGCCTCTTTTAATTAAATTGTAAATTTTTTGAGATGTCATCTTCTCTTTTCCTAATATTGATGCAATGGATAATAATGTTTTTCTTATAAACACAAATTTATTATTATGATTTTTTTTCCTATTGCAGCACATCCACTGTCATGTCTTTTTCTATTTCCAGAAGATTTCTCATGTCTTTGTTGCATCAGGCAATATAGCTCAGTTACAAGCCAAGGATTGTAAGAACTGTTTCAATTAGCATAATCTCCCAGTCACAAACAGTACAATCTTTGTCATCGAAAAGGACAATTATATAAGGTTTCTTCTAGACATTGTAGTAATTCTGGAGTTGTGTGGTTGAAAGGAGAGATGGGGGGAGGGTGGTCTGCACTTAAAACACAGGATTAAAATGCCTCAAATACTGTTTCATCATTTAATACTATGCATTCTTTTCTTCACTGGGATACAGACCTATGTTTGGCAGAGTGGGGTAACTGCCAGTAGTGGCTCTGGTGGCTGTGCAAAAGACAAGAAAACGTGAGAGTGGCCATACAGCCAAGCTGGCAGCATTGCCAGGTTCAGCTCTACCAGCAAACTTAAAGGAAAAGCTGGAAGGCAACCTTTAAGTGGCAGAGGAGAAAATCCTCTCTGTTTAAGTTCTGTCATCCCAAAGACTGACCAGGATGTTTTGCTCAGTTCACTCCTAATGTAAGACAGTGTGTCCCTTGCTTGACTAGGCTACCCTCCATAAGACTAGCCACTATTTCTTGTTCCTCTGTTTCCCCAGCCATAAAGGATTGTTGGGCATCTTATGGAAGCTTTGGGCTTTTTTAAATTTGTTTTGGTAATAGCTGTGTAAATTAGGAACTAGTGTTAAAGAGAAAAAGTTTGAGTGAAGGTGCTGGTACTGTTCAGCCAGACCAGAATTCCACTCACCATTCAATATGGCTTAAGCCCTCTGGACTGCTCTTCAGAGACAATTTGATCTTGCCCTTGACAATACACTGGTACTTAAGGAGAAGTCAAGCCACCAAAAATACTGTTTCATGTCTTTTTCCATGTATTTCTATGGGTCATATGGGTTTTGTGTAGTAGATCAGGTTTTGGAGACCTAGACAAGAACCTTACATTTAGTCTTCTCTAGTAGACTTCCTGTTGTTTGAGAGCAGACTTTACATGCCTCTAGAAAACTTATTAGTTGATATTTAGGTTTATAAGAAGAAAAAATCAAATTTCTTTTTTCTTGGTTATTGTCATCCTGAGAGTGCTTACATAAAGACATGGCTTCATTTTTTCAGATTTTCTGAAAGTAAACCCTATGTTTTTCCTGTGACATTTTCTCTTGTGAAGAAAGTAAGAAATATTTTAGTTCTAATACAGATTGGCCACTTTGCACTTGTACCTTTGTTCCAGAGAATGTTTCCTACTAATATTGAACCTC